GAGCTGCTGGGGATTATAGGCCTGCATCCTCACCAGCAGGCCAGCTTGTTAAGTGGCTTCCAGCTGACCATTTTGCCCTTTGAGTCTCTCCAGGCCAGTGAATCATCAAGGAAATTTCTCAATTACTAATTACTGTGAGGACAGTAGCTATTTAGCCTCATCACTAATGTGTATAACCAATTGGATACATGTATAAATATTTCCTCTATAGCTATAAAATCAAGATCTTCATAGAGAGACAAAAATATGTCTAAGCAGTTCTTTTACGGGTAATGTTTAAAATGATGAGCTGAAATTCATACCTTCCTAAGATGGGAAATGGCATGCCCGCTCAGGCCCCCTTCTCGCCCCTCCTCACCTCTCCTGGTGCAGCTCCCAGCCCAGGTGTGCCACACAGCATGCTAGACGTCATCGGCAGTCGTCATCCTGAGGAACAAGCAGGAAAGCTGCGCCTGACCCATGTGTGCTTTCAGGGAACACAGAGTACCCGAGACTGTCTCTCGGGGCCATGAAGGCTGGCCGCCCTCTGGCCTGCGACTCCTGGTTTCTCATAAACAGACAAGAGGAGCATGCTAAGTGCATCAAGCAGGCACATGACAACAAGCGCTTGGGAGAAAGGAGCTAGCACCCCACGTCCACACACATATGCACCCCCCCACCACCACACCACACACACATACACACCCAGAGCCTGGCTTCCTGTGTGGACCTGGGACAGGATCTCTCCACCTCAGCACTGTTGATATTCGGGGCCAGATAACAAGGGCTGTCTGTGCACCACAGGATGATCAGCAATATCCTAGGCCTCCCCCCGCTGGGTGCCAGCAGCACCCCTGCCTCCTGCTGGGATGATCAGATACGTCTCCAGACATGGCCAACCCTCCCCTAGGAAGCAAAATCACCCCCTCCCCGCTTGAGAACCAGTACTCTGTGTCTATATAGGCACATATTGTGCTACAGAAGTGTATACATACATACAAACAATTAAATATTTATATGTCCTTATTTTAAGTTGGCATCTGGTATAAACTTTTCATTCAATCAGCATATGCACAAAACAGAATTGTGACATATTTTCTTCCTTTTCTCTTAAAAATTAATGTCATCTGTGATAATAGTGACATTTGTGGTGACTAAAAAATAGAACCATCTTATCTTTCTGTAAAGTTGGCATTTACCTTAATCACTAAGGAAAGGGGCCTCTGGGAGCCTTTCTTGGCTTCCCTTTTGGTCCTTCCCATTCTGAATCCTAATTCTTTAAGTGCCAAGAACACAGATGGACAAATGGGGTGTCCGATATATCTTATACTCATCCCTCACCAACCAAGACCTCCAGGGAGTCCCATGCAAATCAAAACTTAAAAGGTGGAAAAGAAAGACAAGTTAATGTCCAATTCTACAAGATTACTTTCTCCATCAGCCCAACTATAGTATATCAGTCAGAATAGGCTAAGCTATGGTTCTAAAATAAATAATTCCCCGCCCCCCACAAATGGCAATGGTTCATGACAGTCAAGGTTTATTTCTCTCAGGCTTCATGGCAACTCCAGGCCATGCTCTGTGTTGCTGTTGCCTGGTTCTGGGTTCCAGGCTGACTAAGCAACCACACAGGGAACAAGGGGAAGTACACAGTCACTCTGAAAGTGTCTGTCCTCAAATGGATGTCACTTCTCCTCGTGTTTCACTGGCCAAACCAAGTCCCATGGCCTTGCCTGAATTCACCAGGCAGGAAGAAAATGCCTCCTACAAGAAGAAGGTCAGGAGCTGATGGACAGTCACAGAACCCAGGTCCCATTTGTTAAGTTCTCCCACTGAGCAGTTCCTCCTGTTCCTCCCAGACTCCCTAGCCCCAGCCCCACCCCGCTTTGTGCCTACCCTATTTATCTCCTTCAGCATGGGATTTTCCAAAGCCTCTCTCCTCTTCCACACCCACGTAAAAACAATTTTCAGGACCTTCATTGTTTATTAAGCTATCATATTCCCACCTGCTTTCCTTTCATCAAAGATAACCAAGAACCAATTTCAAACATTTTCCAACCCCAAATCCAATTTTAACTGAGATTTGCACTGATTACCTTCAAATTCCAGTCTCCTAGGATTTCTTTCTCTGAGATATTTAAAAAGAAAGTCCAGAGCAGGTTTCCTAGTTGACATGTTGACATTGGGAGCTGCTCCTTGTTGTGGGGACTGTCCTGCACATGGTAGGGTCCTGAGCAGCATCCTGACCCCAACCCACTGAATACCTGCAGCAATTCCCATGTTAAGACAACCAAGGATGTCTCCAGAGGGTCAAAAATCTGGATGAAATTGCCCCCAGTTGAGAACCACTAGTCTAAGGAAACCCCAGTCCCATTGCTACTCACTTCTCCAACAGGAAGTAAGTGCCCACTCACTCACCCACAAACTTATACCAAGTTCCTATTCCATGCCCAACCCTGGCTAAGGGCTGGAGATGCCAAGGTGAAGTAGGTGTGGACCCTGCCCTCCAAGTCCTCACGTCCAGGGCAAGGAAACAGCAGATGCATTAAGTAAGTTCAAAACAATGCAATACTTGCAGAGCTCTATAAACAAATGGTCCTGGGACACCAAAAGGGAAGCATTTGGCAAGAGTTCTGGAAGGCTGCACCATGAAGTGCTCATCTGAGTAAAACTTGAAAAGTAAGGCTGCCTTATGTTCCAGGATGCTTTGTAGTTTGATAGATGTCATCTCCCTTGATTCCAAAACAACCCCGAGAAGTTGTCACTCTCCCCATTTATAGGTAAGTGAGTCTCAGAAAGATTAAATGACTTCCCTATCTGGTGCAACAAGTAAACAGCAGAACTTGGGTGACCCAGCTCTATAGTTGGTTCTTCTTGGAGCTCTGCAAGAGCCTAGCAAGATCTCTGGCACCTGAGAGTATCACCAATGCCACTGCAGGATGATCGTGGTTCCCCTCCGTGTCCATTCGGTCAAGGTTCCTTGACTCCAAGAAAGATCATGATTGTCATACCAAGAATGCAAAGAGAAAACAGTCAACACTTTTCATTTAAAAATAGGTTTTTGGTTCTCATAGTGAGACAAATTCCGGAAAGTTAAGCCTCTTGATTTGCAAAAAAAAAAAAAATTTTTTTTTTTTTCACATCTAAAAGCGTCATCAGGAGCAAAGCTAAGATGGAATCAGAGTTGCAGAGTGTAGACTGGAGAGGGATAGCTGGAGGACCAAGCTGTTGAGACTGGTTAGACAACAGGGTGGGAAGGCAGAGGGGAGCACCAGGGAGAAGGGGCTGCTGATGTGTAGGGCTGGGGGAGGGAGTCACATCCCTAGTCCTCTCATGGCTCAGATCTCAGTGGGAGAGGAAGTCACAGAACCAAAAGTCTCTGATGAGATTGAGAAATGAGAAGGGAGTTTACTGGGGGTTGTAGCTCAGTGTAGAGCAATTGCCTCGCACATGTGAGGCACTGGGTTCAAGACTCAGCACCACATAAAAATAAATAAATAAAATAAAGGTGTTGTGAACAACTATAACTAAAAATGTTTTTTAAAAAAAGAAAGAAAGAAAGAAAGAAATGAGAAGGAGAGGCCTTGGGATGATAGCCCTCTTTGGAAAGGGTTCCCTGTCCACTGAAGGATCCCAGACATTTGGACCCAGACAGCCCCACTCACCGAGCCTGGTGCAGAGAGAACAGATGGGTTTCTCCATAAAGAAGTTACATGAGAAGCAGAGCCTCCCAGGGGACTCACAGAAGCAGGAGAGGATGTCATACAGAATCGGATGAGGATACATACTGTCACTTCTCAGCTGATGTCAGCAAGGCTAGGGGAAAAAAAAACGTGTAAAGACCAGACTGGATGGCAAATCTCAGACACCCCTAGGAACAGATGCTGACAAGAGGGTGCCACTGGAGCAAGGATGCAGTGATGGATGACAGTGGAGATAAAGAACAAGTCCAGCAAAGATCCAGAGACTTGTTCTGATTGTCCAGCCCGTGTCACATGCTCAAGGTCAGAGTGGCGCGTGTTCTGACTGGGGAGGCCTCGGTCGCGGGATCCACTGCAGTAGCTGAGGCATGAGTCTCAACCAGACCTCGTGGACCCAAATAAGAACCTGGAATAAAAGCAGAGCTGTTGCTCGGTGGTGGTGGTGGGGGGGGGGCGGCGGTGCTGAATCCCGGGATGACGGACAAGTGTCTACGAAAGAAGGCATTTGAGAAAGTCTCGGAAGGAATGCAAATATTATGGATGCTTAGCCGGTGTCCTTTCTCGTCTTCTTCCTTGGCTCACATTATCCCTCATCAGGAGGAAAGCAGGCGCTTCCCTCCATTTTCTGTTGTAATAATGAGGGATAAAGTGGGGAAAAAAAATTGCACCTGTCAGATTTGCCCAGATGAGAAGTGATATTCCTCCATAGGCTGACTCTCCTTTGAAGATGAGCCGACTTCAGACAGACCCATTGTGTGTCACTGCGGCCTTGGACTCTAAATTCCAGCTCCTGCCAGCTGGCAGGGTTCACACAGAGAGGCTTGGGCTGGGAGACCTGCACGGAGGCCTGGCCTGTGTCTGTCCTAGAAATGCCACCGTCCAATCTTTCCACTCGTGAGGGGAAAGGAAAGGACACCAAGACAGAGCCCATATCCTTCTCTCCAGAAGGCCCTGGGCTTGTGCTCATCAGTCATCCAGCCAATGTCTTCGTCTCTGAGCCCTGGGGAGACAAGGATATCACCCCAGGACACACCACTGGTCCTAGAACCAGGATTCGAACTCAGTTATGCCATCCTCTTCCAAGTGCTTGTAGTCTGAGGTATCATCCGGCCCCTGAATCTCACCTCTACCCAGTTGTATGGGGCGCTGTGTGGATGCCCCTCACCCAGGGCAGGCCCACAGAGGAAGGCAAGAAAGTCATCCAAGCTGCTCAGAGTCACACATGATCAGTGGAGCCAGGTGGTACCGGGAGAACCCAGTGCTTCTCCTGACTCATGGTCCAATACATGTCCTCTGGCCACGCTTGCCCAGCAAGCCCAGCCTTGTGTATCCAAGACAAGGTCAAGAAGACATGGAGCCAGTTGCCCACCATCACAGCACCTGAACCCAGGGTACATATGCGAAAGTCTGGCCCCAACTCTTCTTGGAAGAATGAACCTAGTCTACACCCAAACTACCCAAAGTGGGGGTCCATGGACCAGCAGCATCAGCCTTGCTTGGATGCTTCTAGAAATGCAACATCTCAGGCCCGCTCCAAAACCAGGGCTTTATTTTAACAAGGTCCTGGGGGGACTCTTGAACACAGTGAAGTTTGAGAAGTGCTGCTCTGTCTCTGAGCCTGTGGACTACTATTCCATCCCACTGGCTTCAAATCACAGGTTGTCCCCACACTTGACTGCCGCCATAAATAATCACATTAGCCACACACTGGGTGTACACTTAGGAGTTCCCAAAACTCCTCTGACCCCAGTATACATGAAGATAAAAGCTACCAGCTCTCCAGGCCTAGGAAGTGGGTTAGGAGGTCCTCATCAGTGACCAGAAGAGGAGCTCCAAGATACCTCTTAGGCATTCCTGCCCTGGAATCACCTCTTTTTTTGGTACACAAGGCCCACTTGCCTCTTCCTTAAATACCGTTTGTAAACAGACACACACCCCGCCCCCGGGTACACCCATAAAGGGAAGTCCAAGTGACACCCCAACTTCACCAGCACCCAGCATCTGCTAAGTGACACAGCCATTCTCTGAGTCCCAAAGGAGCCATCTGGGACCGTCGGACCTCCCACCTGAGGGTATTTTGTAGGAAACACTGCTTGCCCGCTTTTACTATGGTTCTTCTCTCTCTGTGCAATTTAACTTTTTAAAATAAAACGTCAGGTGCTATTTTAGGGTAACCGGTAAAATATGTGTTCTCTCCTCCTCCCCCTTTCTCAGCTGAGTCGCTGAACGTGGTACAATCATGTTATAGAGACTAGCAGATAATGGGCCATACAAAATCGTAGCGAAGAATAAAAAAGAAGATAGAAAGCTTTCATCTTCTCTCTGTTTAGCATGAAACTCTAATGGTAGGAGAACTTTCCAATTCCACAGCCAGGGAACGTCTCTGCGCACCATCTGAGTCCATGACGGTATGTGTTGACTTTTCTGGGAGTGGGGGAGGGAGAGGCAGGCCCATTTGACCATTTGTGCTATCACCAAAAAAGTTAAAATTAAAAACAAAGCCAAACAAAGTGTTGTGCCCCCTCCTCATTTCTTGTTGATGGGACGTGACATAAAATAGTGCTGACCCAGCTGAAATCTTCAGAATTTGAAGTCGACATCAGATCTCCATACACCATATTTTTGACTTGCAAATGCCTTCCAAGAATAGCTGGAGTGTCCTTATTAAGCCCAGCTTGTGAAGCATCCCTCTTAGCGCCGTCTGCTCTGGCACTGTATAATTCATGGACTTGCCTTATGAAGTTAGGGAGGGATCGAAACCGTGACCAGCCCATGAACCCAAGCTGACACTTCAATTATTTCAAAAGGAACACAGAGGAAGCTGAAATCTGACCAGCCTCTCAGCTCCATCCTCCAGGTGCCAAGTCAGCCTTCCGGGTCCGGCTGTCCGCATCCACACTGAGGGCCTCGGGTTCAGAGCAAGGGAACCGTCATCTTGGTCAACAAGTTTATGCTTAGCTGTGACCCGGCATCTCCCTTAACAATGGGGCCAACTAGAAAATAGGCTTGAGGACCTTGGTATTTAGAGTTGAGGTTCACTGATGTTAGCAAGAAAGGGTGAGGCTGATCATAGTGATAATCACCATGGTTACCATGCAGGAGCTAGTCCAGCCTGTGAGCCCTGCTCCAGACCCCTGGCACATATCACCTCACTCAAGCCGCAGCAAAGTAGGAATCATTATCTGGCTTTCAGAGGAGGAAACTGTGTCCCAGCAGCTGGCCTCCAGCCATATGGTAATGGAAGAAGGTTCTGGGTTGGCAAGCAGGTCTGCCAGCTCCAGAGCCCTGTTCCCTCTGGACACTCTCCCCAGGGGTTGTGCAGACCCCCCAGGGCAGGGCGCAGTGGTCTATGGGAAAAGAGTAACAGAAAGGCTATTTACATTTTAACATCTCATTTCAAAATTTCTGTATGTACGTTTTCACAGTATAATAAAATGTACATCATGAATAAACAAATACGCATACGTATGTGGCTGACTGTGACCTGAGGGTTTGTTTTCCTTTTTTTTTTTTTTTTCTTGATAGTGAGAAGAAATAGAAAAGCTTCGAGACCACGACTCTTAACATTTTCCCTGTACTGACCCATGTCCAGGGATGTTTTCCAAAGGGGCTCAGGACAGCCCTCTCTCCTTGGGACCTTTTCTGAGACCCTTGTCTAGACTGTATTAGCACCACGCTGACATCTCCACCACCTCCACCGCCCAGCCTGGAATTGAAGCTCCGTGGAGCGTGGAGGGACTCTGGCCACCGCACTTGCCCGGGCTTCTGCCTCCTTTGGAAGCAGTAGGGGCTCTCCCATGGCGGCCTCACGCCTTCTGAGTTGGGAGCCTGAGGCTCCAGGTCCCAGGCAGGATCTTGCCCTCCTTAGGCCCTGTCTCAGAAGCCAGTTCTGAAGAACCTTCTCTTTTATTTGTTGGTTTGTTTGTTTGGGTACTAGGGATTAAACCTGGCGTGCTTAACCACTAATCCACATCCCCAGACCTTTATACTTTTTTATTTTGAGACAAGGTCTTGCTAAATTGCTTAGGGCTCCCTAAGTTGCTGAGGTTGACTGAATTTGTGATCTGCCCGTCTCAGCCTCCGAAGCCACTGTGATTCCAGGCGTGCCCCAAGGTGCTCCTAGCTCAGAAGAGCATTTTAAATGAACCTCATAGTCCCTGCTTCTGTCCTCATGCGTCCAACTTAGCTGGAGGGCAAGAGCTCATATTAATTTGGGAGGTGTTTACTGAGCACTTTAGGGCTAGCACCAGGGTCCGGGCAGAGAGTGAACATCCAAAGTCAGCTCCAGTGTGACAGTGAGGGAATGAAAAGAGGAGCAAGAAACCATGTCATCAGGGTAAATAATCCCCATGAGAGATACGGACTGTGAAGATCATAAAAGGTCATATAAAGTGTACCCCTATATGCCAGGCTCTGTGCTGGGCCCCTGACACCCATAGCCCATCACCTAACCCCACCTTCATCGAGAAAGCCTGCAACTCCATGATTAATAGCAAGCCCCTCTGCCCCTCTCTGCTTCTTAAGGGCTGGAGTCTTTGCTGACCCTCCTCCTAGGCCAACCCCAGGTCAGCTTCAAGCGCGCTTGCCAGGACAGAGCTTTTATAGTGAATGAACTTGGAGCTGAGCTGCAGAGACAAGGGACTACCCAGAAAATAATGCAAAAATAGTAGCAGGTGAAGTTGAAGAAGGAAGCAAAGCACATTGAAATTGGGATCAGAGTCCTAGGCTGGGATCTGAGCCCTCATCTTTGTTTCCTCGTCTGCAAAATGAGCATAACCATAACCATGAGTCCCTACAAAGTGACATTTAGGATCCATGGGCATCTGCAAAGTGTCCAGCTCAGAGTGGGTGCTCAAGAATATGTCCTGGCATCTTCTGATCCTCACTTTCCTCTCCCTCAAAATAAGCACAGTTGGCCTTTGGAGCAGAAAGGATTCCTGTGACCTGGGGATGTCCCAAAGACCTCCTGGAGGAGAGGCACCTGCACCCCCACTGGACCCAACAGGGTTGGTCTCTGCAGAGCTGCAGGAGTAATCATCGCACGTGTAGATCACTGTCAGAGCTTCCGATTCCCTGTCTACATCGTGGAGACAAGCATGACAACTTAGATTGTGCACAGCAGGATGTCTGGCAAGGGTTCTAGGAGCCCGGAGATTTGGGTCCAAGCAGAATTTTGTCACCATGGTGCTCTCTTGGGTAGGTCACATATTGTCTCTAGACTCCATGTCATCTGTAAAATAGGACTGTTAAGTCACAGGGCAGGTCACCTAACAGCCCTCTAAATCTCTGATTCCAGTTTAATGGCCTGGTTGTAGTTCCCAAAGATTTTCCTCTTGACCTGAAGCTAGGGCCCACCCTGTCCCCATGTCTTCCCCACCCCATGTGCCAGCTGAGATCCCACACTCCTGGAAAATAGCATGCATGTTTAGAGGGGGAAGGAAATGGTCCTGAGCCACATCCTCTTCCCAGGTGCATTCAAGAGGAATACAAAGAGGCATAGGGAGCAGCAAGGAAGAAATCTGCCATTATAACCACAGGAGCTGGGCGGGTGGCGCACACCTATAATCACAGAGCCTCAGGAGGCTGAGACAGGAGGATCACGAGTTCAAAGCCAGCCTCCGCAACAGGGAGGCGCTAAGCAACTCAGTGAGACCCTGTCTCTAAATAAAATATTAAAAAGGGCTGGGGATGTGGCTCAGTGGCCAAGTGTCCCTGAGTTCAATCCCCAGTACCTGCCCTTCCTCCCCCCAAAACAACCCA